CCGGCTCCGGCCAGCGTTCTAACCCCCGTGGTACTGGCCCGACAGCGATCTCAGTTTAGTTGTTACCCTCTCTAGCATTATAGTTGTTCCTGCCACGTTTTGTAACCTGTCTCTCCTTCGCCCAGATCCCGTCTGTCCTGCTGCCTGCCTGCCTGCCACTCCCACGCGAACCTGCTCATTCTGTTGTCTGATATCCTCGTCATCCAGCTCTCAGTACTACTGGCTCTCCACCCCACTCAGCTCCTACCCCGGTCTGAAGTGCTCCACCCTGAACTGTTCTCTCTGCCAAAACACGCTGAATAAACAACATCTTAATTCACCCTCTTTGTCCGTGTGTCCGTCTCTGCACCTGAGTCCCCACCAAGCCTAACATAAACAAATCTAAATATATTTTATATTTGAGATTCTTCAAATAGCCACCCTTTGCCTTGATGACAACTTTGCACACTCTTGGCATTCTATCAACCAGCTTCATGATGTAGTCACCTGGAATACATTTCAATTAACAGGTGTGCCTTGTTAAAAGTTAATTTGTGGAATTTCTTTCCTTCTTAATGCGTTTGAGCCAACCAGTTGTGTTGTGACAAGGTATGGGGGGGGTATACAGAAGATAGCCCTATTTGGTAAAAGACCATGTCCATAATATGGCAAGAACAGCTCAAATAAGCAAAGAGAAATAACATTCCATCATTACTTTAAGGTGAAGGTCAGTCAATACGGAACATTTCAAGAACTTTGAAAGTTTCTTTAAGTGCAGTTGCAAAAACCATCAAGCGCTATGATGGAATGGAAGACCTAGAGTTACCTCTGCTGCAGAGGATAAGTTCATTAGAGTTACCAGCCTCAGAAATTGCAGCCCAAATAAATGCTTCACAGAGTTCAAGTCACAGACACATCTCAACATCAACTGTTCAGAGGGGACTGTGTGAATCAGGCCTTCATGGTCGAATTACTGCAAAGAAACCACTTCTAAAGGACACCAATAAGAAGAAGAGACCTGCTTGGGCCAAGAAACACGAACAATGGACATTAAGACCGGTGAAAATGTGTCCTTTGGTCTGGAGTCAAAATTTGAGATTTTTGGTTCCAACTGCCGTGTCTTTGTGAGACGCGGTGTGGGGGAACGGATGATCTCTGCATGTGTAGTTCCCACCGTAAAGCATGGAGGAGGTGTTATGGTGTGGGGGGTGCTTTGCTGGTGACACTGTCTGTGATTTATTTAGAATTCAAGGCACACTTAACCAGCATGGCTACCACAGCACTCTGCAGCGCTACGCCATCCCATCTGGTTTGCGCTTAGTGGGACTATCATTTGTTTTTCAACAAGACAATGACCCAACACACCTCCAGGCTGTGTAAGGGTTATTTTACAAAGAAGGAGAGTGATGGAGTGCTGCATCAGATGACCTGGCCTCTACAATCCGCTGACCTCAACCCAATTGAGATGGTTTGGGATGAGTCGGACGGCAAAGTGAAGGAATAGCAGCCAACAAGTGCTCAGCATATGTGGGAACGCCAAGACTGTTGGAAAATCATTCCAGGTGAAGCTGGTTGAGAGAATGCCAAGAGTGTGCAAAGCTGTCAAGGCAAAGGGTGGCTATTTGATGAATCTCAAATATAAAATATATTTTGATTTGTTTAACACTTTTTTGGTTACTACATAATTCCATGTGTTATTTCATAGTTTTGATTTCTTCACTATTATTCTACAATGTAAAAAATGAAAAACCCTTGAATGAGTAGGCGTGTCCAAACCTTTTACTGGTGCTGTATAATTTATTTATAAGTTCCAAAAATGGATGTAGCAACTGCAGATTGCCCCTTAAAAACATACTAAATGTTGTTAGCTAAGTGTCATACAATGACTTTTACACTTAGGAAAGACTATTCAAGGTCATTCAGCTATGGTATATCTCTAAATCACAGAAATACAATAATGTGCAATATTTGCCATTACAGTACTATTACACTTTATATTTTGTTATTGTAATGACACAGTAATGCTCAGTGGTCTTACTTTCTGGGCTTAGCCAGAGAGCCCTGCTGGACCTCCCTAACAGCCTCGTATAACGTGTCCCTGGAGACCTTACTGTGAATGGAGAAAAAAACAGGACAAACAACAAATTACTACATACATTTATAGTATAGGGCAGCAAGGGATTTATTTACCACAACCCCCCCCCCCCCCCCCCAACAAAAAAAAACCACAAGGTATTATGAAGTTAATTTTTTCAAGGCTAAAAGAAACTTAAGCAAAGCTTTGTGCTCCCCCTCATAGCAGGCTATAATTAGATGGTTTAACATACAGTATGTTGACACATGACTCTTGAACAATTGTTGCTTTAACAGTAATAAATCATCAAACTGCTTTATGTATTCGATTAGATAAGATTTAATTTAACTAAATCAAGGATTTAAAGAAGAAATTATAATTATATTGTTAGAAGTGTCTCCAGAAGTCCTTGGGTAAATTTGACATTCCAAATTTTTTTTAAATCATGTGCCACAGATGTTAGTTAAAAATGTTCTCTGTAACTATGTAAATCCATCCATTAGACGATTTTTGAAGTTCTGATTTACAGAAATATATTCCTTAATAATTGTCAAAAAATTAAATAATAATAATTAGAAGAGATTTATAAATTCATTTTGAACTGACCTCATATTGGTGGTTTCGCCTTCTTCACCCTGCGCTGGAAAGGAAGTCTACCCGGAAATTGCGCTAAATAAACTGGACACGGAGTTCAGCCATATTGGTAGTGGAAAATATTAAAATATTTTTCCATCATGCCACCAAAGAAAATCTGATAGAGGCTTAAAGAGAATGCTGTGGTACCATCTTTATTTTCCCTTCCTCTCTGACAGCAAAATAAAAGTTTAAACAGTCAGACATTATACTCTCCAAAAGGTAACCAATAGTTAAGGGCATATTGGCTTTTACACAACCGGTGGGACTAATCCTGAATGCTGATTGGTTAAAACCGCATTCCAGACATTTGCAACATTGTTTATACATACATGCTTATGTATACTATGTAAGTTCTTGCAGAATTCCAGAATTTGGACATTTAAATCAATATGAAACAACAAAAGTCCCACTTGTAATAAAAAAACACAGCTGACATACTATTGTAGTAAAATGACTTTAAAATAACCTACCATGTTCTCAGGCATTATCATTCATTTAATAGTTCATTAAGGTATAGGGATTCAGACAGTATTTCATGAATGTTTGATTCTCTTCAGGGCAGCTTGAAGGGACTTCTTCAAGAATGTCTCATTGGAGGACAAGCAGCAGGACAGAGTGTGTTTGTGAGCCATAGTGACCTGGACAAATACAATCAGACAAGAATAGGAGTGTGTCAGTAAACAGACTAAGTTACAGTTGTAGACTTGACTTAAGGGGTTTTCATAACCAACGTGCCTCTGCTTCCTCTTTAGGATCTAGGCCAGGTTACTGTACAGCTCTTTTCGACAACTGCTGATGTAAAAAGGGCTTTACAAATCCATTTGATTGATTGGTATAACCTACATGCGTGTTATACTTGGTGAGCACAGTTAGCATCATCTTGGCAAACTTCATGGACTTGGTGAAATGAGGTGCCTGGGAGCTTAGCTGGTCAGTGAAGAGTGTGAACAGCTCTTCATTTAGCTCCAGCTGAAAAGTGATACAAACAGATTCAAATCAATGAGAGACTAAGGATTTTATGAATACTCTTGTTTTCACATACAATACGGTCAAATCAATTGGTCTGGTTTGGATAGGTATGGTACATTAGAGAACTATACTGAACATAAATATAAAATGCAACATGTAAAGTGTTGGTCCCATGTTTCATGTGCTGAAATAAAAGATCCCAGAAATGTTCGATACACACAAAAATCTTATTTCTCTCAAATTTTATGCACAAATATGTTTACATCCCTGTTAGTGAGCATTTCTCCTTTGCCAAGATAATCCATCCACCTGAAGATAATCCATCCACCTGACAGGTGTGGCATATCAAGAAGCTGATTAAACAGCATGATCATTACACAGGTGCACCTTGTGCTGGGGATAATAAAAGGCTACTCTAAAATGTCACACAACACAATGCCACATGTGCAATTGGCATGCTGACTGCAGGAATGTCAACCAGAGCTGTTGCCAGATAATGTAATGTTAATTTCTCTACCATAAGCTGCCTCCAACGTCGTTTTAGAGAATTTGGCAGCACGTCCAATCGGCCTCACAAACGCAGACCAGCCCAGGACCTCCACATCCGGCTTCTTCAACTCAGCTCCATCATTCATTGAATCAGATGCCTCATTCATCACAAAACCAACTGATATTGCCAACTACTTTATACTTTTTTCATTGGCAAGATTAGCAAACTTAGGCATGACATGCCAGCAACAATTGCTGACACTACACATCCAAGTATATCTGACCAAATTATGAAAGACAAGCATTGTAATTTTGAATTCTGTAAAGTAAGTGTGGAAGAGTTGAAGAAATGATTGTTGTCTATCAACAATGACAAGCCACCGGGGTCTGACAACTTGGATGGAAAATTACTGAGGATAATAGCGTACGATATTGCCACTCCTATTTGCCATATTTTCAATTTAAGCTTAATAGAATGTGTGTGCCCCCAGGCTTGGAGGGAAGCAAAAGTCATTCCGCTACCTAAAAATAGTAAAGCCCCATTTACTGCCTCAAATAGCCGACCAATTAGCATGTTACCAACCCTTAGTAAACTATTGGAAAAATGGTGTTTGACCAGATACAATGCTATTTTACAGTAACACACTTTCAGCATGCTTATAGAGAAGGAGATTCAACAAGCACAGCACTTACACAAATGACTGATGATTGACAGAGAAATTGATGATAAAAAGATTGTGGGGGCTGTTTTGTTAGACTTCAGCGCAGCTTTTGACATTATGATCATAGTCTGCTGCTGGAAAACATATGTGTTATGGCTTTACTCCACCTGCTATATTGTGAATACAGAGTTACCGGTCTAACAGAACACAGAGGGTGTTCTTTAATGGAAGCCTCTCCAACATAATCCAGGTAGAATCAGGAATTCCACAGGGAAGCTGTCTAGGCCCATTACATTTTTCAATCTTTACTAATGACATGCCACTGGCTTTGAGTAAAGCCAGGGTGTGTATGTATGCAGATGACTCAACACTATACATGTCAGCTACTACAGCGACTGAAATGACTGCAACACTTAACAAAGAGTTGCAGTTAATTTCAGAGTGGGTGGCAAGGAATAAGTTAGTCCTAAATATTTCTAAAACTAAAAGCATTGTATTTGCGACAAATCATTTACTAAACCTCAACTAAATCTTGTAATAAATAATGTGGAAATTGAGCAAGTTGAGGTGACTAAACTGCTTGGAGTAACCCTGGATTGTAAACTGTCATGGTCAAAACATATATAACGGTAGCTAAGATGGGGAGAAGTATGCCCATAATAAAGCGCTGCTCTACCTTCTTAACAGCACTATCAACAAGGCAGGTCCTACAGGCCCTAGTTTTGTCACACCTGGACTACTGTTCAGTCGTGTGGTCAGGTGCCACAAAAAAGAACTTAGAGGACAATTGCAATTGGCTCAGAACAGGGCAGCACGGCTGGCCCTTGGATGTACACAGAGAGCTAACGTTAATAATAGTGTGTTGTGAAATCTGTAAATGTATTGTAATGTTTTTTTAAATGGTATGAACTGCCTTCATTTTGCTGGACCCCAGGAAGAGTAGCTGCTGCCTTGGCAGGAACTAATGGGGATCCATAATAAATACAAATACCTGCGGGATCGTCTGAGACCAGCCACCCGGACAGCTGATAAAACTGAGGAGTATTTCTGTCTATAATAAAGCCCTTTGGTGGGGAACAACTCGTTTTTTTAATTGACTGATTTCCTTATATGAACTGTAACTCAGTAAAATCGTTGAAATTGTTGGATTTTGCGTTTATATTTTTGTTCAGTATAGTTTGGTCTGGTTTGGATAGGTACGGTACATTAGAGGACTAGTTTGTATGTGAGTGGAGTAGATTCATGGTTCACCTTCTTGTCCAGCAGGGCATGAATGACGGACAGCACTCCTTCACACCAAATCCCTTTGAGTGTCATCCTGGACAAAAGAAGAGCTTATGAGACTGTAAAAGAGTATTAAAATGCATATAATCATTACAACCAGAACACTTCACTAGTTGTTAGATCCACAACACCCACTGGGTTGATTTGTCTTACTGAAACATCAGCAGTCTGTAGTGGGGATCAAGGCAGTCTTCTATCAATCTGATGAGCAGCTCAGCCTGTGCACTGCCTGATGGGACATTCCAGATTTAGATATACGTGGTAAATAAAAAGAAATTATATATAAATAGAACGATTATTAGTGCCTGAATAGAACATCATTAGGTGGTGAATAATATATCGACGGCTAAATTCATTGACTGACAGTTAATGCTTGTCTATTTTGGAGTCCACAATTGATCAATGCGTGTTTCCCACTCACCTGTCTGCCCTTCCTCCAGGACTGGTCCAATCAAAGCATGGCAGGTTGGCCTGGGGTAGCGACTGCATAGTGACGTCACAGCCATGACTAGACAGCGGGAGGCAGGTTCAGAAAGGGACAGGACCTGCCAGAGGTAAACAGTATGGGAGACAGTTAGCCTAACAAGCCACTGTCTTACTCACACTATAGGGCCGACTCAAATTGTGCTGGCTCTGATTTTTATTTTCACATTGTCCTTTCCAGCAAAGAAAACTATGATGGATTGGTAACCAGGCCAGCCCAGTGCAGCTTGGCTTGGCTCAGTTTTGGTCAGTAGTGTGAAAAGGGTACATGTGAATGAACTGTGAGGTACCTTTCCCAGCAGGATACTCTTGATGAGTGTGACTGCTGTGCTGTGACTGAGATCAGGCGAGAGGTCCAGCAGGCAGCTACAGAGCTGAGGTAGGGTCTGTTCTGGAGTCTCAGACAAACTCAGCATCCTACATAAGACCTCTACCTACAGAGAGAAGGGTTGTTATCGGAAGCAGTGATCATGAGTGACCTGATTTTGTGTACGTTTTAGTGTCAATTTTAAAAAGTTCAACCTGGGAGGGATCACAGTCGTTCAGCACCTTGAAGACATCCACTGAGCTCTGGTCCCACTAAACAAAGAGGACACAGGGGATTAAGGCACTTTCATGTGAGTGTATCTCAGACATGATCACTTAGTTAAAATAGGTATCTTACCTCCACCTCACTTTCCAATAGTTCCTTGATTTGAGGGATAGAAGCCTGAACCAAGAAAACACATAAGTTAATTTCAGTTCTTCGGTGTTGTCAACAGAATACTAATGTGACTGAAGAGTCAAGTTCTTTATTTGTCTCACCTGTACTTGCTCAGGCAGGGCATCACTTGGACTTTCTGCTGCTGGCTGCTGTGGTTCCACAGCTGGTTCTGGGAAGACACCATCCACCCGGTCCGTCTCCATCTCATCTTTCAAACCCTCCGTTCCCACCGCATACACCATACTGCTACACCTCCTCTCAGTGTCCACAGGAGAGAGACTTATCTTCATCCTCTTACGCTGTTGTCCGGAGTCCTCCTCAGGTTCTGAGTCCAGATCCACACAGCTGCTCTTCCTCTTCCTCTGTGGAACCACATCATCTAGCCCACTCTGTGAGGATGAGGCCGGTTGTGGCTCTATTGGTCCACCTAAACATGAAGCCCATCCTGTTGCTTGATCACCACCACTACCCCTCAAACGCTCACATAGTACCCTTAGTCTTTCTCTGCACTGGGGGGTGATTAGAGGCTCCTTCCCCCCAGGGGCTCCAAGGTCTCTCCGGAGCTGTACGACCAGGGCAGGACACCCAGGGGTTTGGGGCATGCTCCCCCTGGCTGAGGCAGTCTAGCAGGCAAAGGACACTGGTCCGGGAATGCAAAGGGTGGGTGAGATGGAGGAAGGACACGAGGCTCCGTTGGAAGGCAACTGGAAACAGGCACACGAGTGGTTTGCTAAGGAGAAGAGCAGTGGGTTATCGAAGAGAATCGTATATTGTATGTATTTTTTCACATTAAAATACACATCACTAGTCTGGTCAGTCTAGAGAAGTCAAACAACGAGGCCAAAAAGCCTAGCTGATTAACTTTAGTGGAATAAACGAGTTTGGACTATTTTCTCACGTTGTCAGGGTTTGAGCATCACTATTCGGGCATATTTCCTGCTGGCAAAGAGTCTCGAGACAGTTGTGCAGGTAGAAGTCCGGGTCTGACCGTCGCTGCCGCTGAAACACCCACAGACCTCGACGGGCACCGGTAGCTCCCAAGAGTAGAGAACGGAGCAGCAACCGGGAGCGTCCATCAAACCGGAGCAACAAAGTATTTGTGTCCATGGTCGTCTTATAGTTAAAGTAACTGCCTAAAATAAGCGTAATGTCTTGTCAATTTGGACCTCTGGTTTTTGCCACCAACTAACCAGTGACACAAAATGTCATGCTTTGTTTACGTTTTCACCAAACTTTGAGATTTCCCTCTTCCTGAGACGTGAACGTGTAACATGAGGGTCTGGCGCCGCCTACTGACCTGGAGTGGTAAGATCGATAACTGCTGGTCCCGGGTGATGTAGCTCTTGCTGGCTGACTAGAGTCCTGGACATACAGTACATTAAACACATTCAAATGGTTTTTCCCTTTTTGGGGGCTATACTGAACATGTGTGTTTGAGTCATCCATACCAAGCAGTCGTTATGACAACCGCTGTGTACAGTTTTGGCTTCAGTATAAAAAGGTTAAACAAAAACAAACCAGTGCCCAAGTTTGATGTGAAGTCAACTAAGACATACAGGGGTCTCAATATTTATGTAAATAAGGTATTTCTGTTTTTTATTTGTAATACATTTGCAACAATTTCTAAAAACCTGTTTTTGCTTTGTCGTTATAGGGTATTGTGTGTACATTGATGAGGAAAAACATTAATTTAATCCATTTTAGAATAAGGCTGTAACGTAACAAAATGTGGAAAAAGGGGTCTGGATACTTTCCGAATGCAGTGTAGCACTTGTGCATATGTGGGAATTCACTAACATTAGACATGGCCATTGCCTGCAGCAGGAAAAAAATGAGTAGCGAATTAAAAAAAATAGGCAAACTGTGAAATAATATTTTATTCTCTTTTCTGTGTGCGTGAAAATACAAACAAGTTAGAATAAATAAAATCTGACATTGGGTCTTCAATCAGCATGTCAACACCGCAACAAGAGTGTCTGTCATTCATGCCCTGTCAACAGTAGAGGTAAGCATCTCAAGTATGTAAGACAAGTGAAAAATAGCAGGGCAAGGTATTGCCCTGAGGCATGGCTAGATTATTATGGCACTATAGGAGTCTAGCCATATCTCAGAGCAAGGCAAAGTATACTTTCAATCTAGACTTACATAAAATATATAAACTACACATATCACAACATAATTAAAATTTCACTAACTTACTAAATGGTGCAAACGACAATAGTGACACAGCGTTGGTACAACAGGACCAACCAACAGATGGCAAACCAACGGGTCGGAGCCCACCACATCAATTAACCTACTCATTAATTAACCCATCAACTTGAAGAGCCAATCTCCCGGTCTAAGAGGATGACTCCAAGCAACAACCAACACAGCCCTGGGATCCAATCAAAAGGTCAGTACATGGTAAGGATTGTTCAAGTCAAGTCTGAGAGGCTTAACAAGACTAGTAAGTGAACCAGTGGTAGTCCTAGCATTTGGTACAGATCTTGAGGCAACAGGTCTGCAAGTGCTAGGCCTATAACCTCACATTTCTTTTTCCCCACCAGGAAATATTATTTGTACCAGCATCTATAGGGACTAACAGTTCAGAAAGGCTATCAGGGGCAGTGACTGAACAAATATTATTCTTAAAATGGGGCCAGAGTAAAGGCCCTAGTCAACCCATTGCAGTCCAAACCCACAGGGCAGGCTGGCGGTGCTTAGAATAGGTTATACTCGTCGTATTCACTCAGGTACAGCAGGAAGTCGTCATCATACAGCAAGTCATCCAGTAGAATCAGTGCAATCAATAAATATTTCCATGTGCCATTAGAGAATACTATTGATGTATACAAAGCAATAACAACATTGTCACATGCTTCGTAAACGGGTGTAGACTAACAGTGAAATAGTTACAGGCAATGCAGAGAAAAAAGACAAGTAATAAACACGTAATAAATACACAATGAGTAACGATACCTTGGCTATATACAGAGGGTATGAGTACCGAGTTGATGTACAGGGGTATGAGGTAATTGAGGTAGATACAGTGCATTCGGAAAGTATTCAGACCTCTTGACTTTTTCCACATTTTGTTACGTTACAGCCTTATTCTAAAATGGATTAAAGAAACACATTTCCTCAATCTACACACAATACCCCATAATGACAAAACGAAAACAGGTTTAGACATTTTTGCAAATTTATTTAAAAAAAACAACATAAATATCTTATTTACATTAGCATTCAGACCCTTTGCTCTAAGACTCGGAATTGAGCTCAGTTGCATCCTGTTTCCATTGATCATCCATGAGATGTTTCTACAACTTGATTGGAGTCCACCTGTGGTAAATTCAATTGATTGGACATGATTTGGAAAGGCACACACCTGTCTAGATAAGGTCCCACAGTTAACAGTGCATGTCAGAGCAAAAAACAAGCCATGAGGTCGACGGAATTGTCTGTAGACCTCCGAGAAATGATTGTGTCGAGCACAGATCTGGGGATGGGTAGCAAAAAAATTCTGCAGCATTGAATGTCCCCAAGAATAAAGTGGCCTCCATTGTTCTTAAATGGAAGAAGTTTGGAACCACCAAGACTCTTCCTAGAGCTGGCCGCCCGGCTAAACTGAGCAAACGGGATTGAAGGGCCTTGGTCAGAGAGGTGCCACTCCTCAGTAAAAGGCACATGACAGCCCGCTTGGAGTTTGCCAAAAGGCACCTAAAGGACTCTCAGACCATGAGAAACAAGATTCTCTGGTCTGATGAAACCAAGATTGAACTCTTTGGCCTGAATGCCAAGCGTCACGTCTGGAGGAAACCTGGCACCATCCCTACGGTGAAGCATGGTGGTGGGGATGTTTTTCAGCGTCAGGGACTGGGAGACTAGTCAGGATCGAGGGAAAGATGAACGGAGCAAAGTACAGAGAGAACCTTTAGGAAAACCTGCTCCAGCGCTCTGAGGTCCTCAGACTGGGGCGAAGATTCACCTTCCAACAGGACAACGACACTACGCACACAGCAAAGACAACGCAGGAGTAGCTTCGGGACAAATCTCTGAATGTCCTTGAGTGGCCCAGCCAGAGCCCGGACTTGAACCTGATCGAACATCTCAGAAAAGACCTGAAAATAGCAGTGCAGCGATGCTCCCCAAATACAGGTGTGCCAAGCTTGTAGCGTCATACCCAAGAAGACTGTAATCACTGCCAAAGGTGCTTCAACAAAGTACTGAGTAAAGGGTCTGAATACTTATGTAAATGTGATATTTCAGTTAATCTTTAATATATTTGTAAAAATGTCTCAACCAGTTTTTGCTTTGTCATTATGGGGTATTGTGTGTAGATTGAGGGAAAAATACTATTTAATCCAGTTTAGAATAAGGCTGTAACGTAACAAAATGTGGAAAAAGTCAAGTGGTCTGAATACTTTCCGAATGCACTTTATGTACATATAACTAGGAATAAAGTGACTAGGCAACAGGACAGACAACAGTAGCTGCAGCGTATGAAGAGTAAAAATTAAAAATTAAAAAGCTACCCGGACTAACTATTTAGCAGTCTTATTGCTTGGGGGCTTGCTACCGCTTACATTTACATTTTAGTCATTTAGCAGATGCTCTTATCCAGAGCGACTTACAGTAAGTGAGTGCATACATTATTTTTTGTATATATATATATATATATTTTTTTTTTCATACTGGCCCCCTGTGGGAATCAAACCCACAACCCTGGCGTTGCAAACGCCATGCTCTACCAACTGAGCTACATCCCTGCCGGCCATTCCCTCCCCTACCCTGGACGACGCTGGGCCAATTGTGCGCCGCCCCATGGGTCTCCCGGTCGCGGCCGGCTACGACAGAGCCTGGATTCGAACCAGGATATCTAGTGGCACAGCTAGCACTGCGATGCAGTGCCTTAGACCACTGCGCCACTCGGGAGATGCCGTGCGCTTGCCGTGCGGTAGCAGAGAGAACAGTCTATGACTTGGGTGGCTGGAGCCTTTGACAATTGTTAGGGCCTTCCTCTGACACCGCTTGGTATAGAGTTCCTGGCTGGCAGGTAGCTCGACCCCAGTGACGTACTGGGCCGTACGCACTACCCTCTGTAGTGCCTTGAGGTCGGATGCCGTGCAGTTGCAATACCAAGCAGTGATGCAGCCAGTCAAGATGCTCTCAATGGTGCAGCTGTAGAACTTTTCAGTATACTCAACTGACTTTGAGACAGCATAAAACATTCCATGAGGTAGAAAGTAACACCAGAATAGTCTTATTTTGAGAACATACTGACAAATTTGCTGACTGACTGGGGGCCTCCATTCACCTGCTTGAGCTGACCGTGTGCTGGATGGAACTGTAGTTTGGGCCAATGTCTCGGAACACTGTTGGACCAAAGCTTGGGAAACTGACGTTAGTGTGTGGTGACTCCTCTGCGAAAAATGGGCCATCGGTACAACCAAGTCCTGCCTGGGTATAGTCAGAAATTCCTCTGTACAGCACTACAATATACTAGCCTGGTCCCAGATCTGTTTATTCCGTCTTGCAAACTCCTATGATCAGTCATGCCAAACATTTGAGTTGGCAAGATCGCACAAACAGATCTGGGACCAGGCCAACAGTATACCCCAGTACCAGGGTAAAGCCTAAGGGGACCAATTAAGGTCATACCCATAACCTGTTGCGGTGAAGTTGGCTATGAACCCTCTGCTGTATCGTTCTCTGTAATATCAGTGGTGCGATGGCCATAGTTGTGCTGTAGATGGGTCTTCATGGACTCTGAGCCCCTGCGAGACTGTTCTTTGCTGGAGAATCCCTGTTCCTGTATTAGACAAGGTTCGGAGCCTCTGCGATCAGGCAGTGCACGGCCAACCCAAGGGGTGTGAACAGCAGATGCTGAACCCCTCCTATTCAACCCTGTACTGGCTGCCTCAGCATCAGTGATGTGGAGATATCTTGAGAATATGAGGAAGGGAATTCAACGAGAAGGGCTTAGAGAAAGTGGGGTAGTGAAAATGTTTAGAAGGTAGGCAACTGAAAAGTAAGAGTCAGGCCAATATGCATTTGATAATGTCTCACCTGCAGAGATCTCCAAACCAGCATCCACCTTTCCGGAAGTACCTGCATATTTGGGATGTCGGAGGCAACACTGATGGCCACTCGTAATGACAGCTTGAACCGAATCTGCACGAACTGTTCATGAATTGCCTGTAAATAAATGTTTTTATGGAGCCATCAATAACAGCATACAACAAAATCTGTCAAGACTATAAACTCAAGCTCTTCG